GGAGTTAAAGGAGGAGGAAGAGGAGGTCGAGAATGAGGAGGAGAAGAAGAAACTCGAGGAGGAGGAGGAGGAGGAGGAGGTGGTGGTGGTGGTGGAGGAGGAGGTCGATGAGGAGGAGGAGTACCTGGGCTGTCAGCCCTGTCTTAGTGAGATCGAGTTCCTGCCATGTTTGCTTTGCCGCCAGGAGCTGCAGGAGGTGCGAACCCCCCGCTGCTCCCAAGTCGTTGTATGACAAACTGATACTGAGCGGCAGGTCAGCGATAACTTCCTGCCCTCGCCTCCTCCTCCTCCTCCTCCTCCTCCTCACCTCGTTATGCTCGGGTGATTGTGCGCGGCGTTCAACACTCCCATGCATTCGGCGACCCACAGCTTGCAGTTGCTGAGCAGCAGCCGCTCGAGCCTCTGGTGCTGGCGGATCACAGCCAAGAGAAGCTGCAGACACTCGCCATGGACGGCACTGCCGGAGAGGTCGAGGACCCGCAGCTGAGTTTGTCGCGTGAGCAGAGTCAAGACCTCTTTCATCATCCAGTAGTTGAGCTAGCAGGTAGTCAGGCCGGCAACTAGAGAACAGAAGGGGAGGGGAAGGGGGAGGGGGAGGGGAAGAACCTTGACGGGGGAGAGGTCCAGCTCTTGGATCTCTGCTTGGCTTGCAGCATCTTCGATCCACATGGCGTCGACCCGCAGGCAGGAGCAGCCGAGGAGGCGCGAGTGGTTGACGGACACGAAGACCATGTCCTTGTTGGCCTGCAGGCGGTGGGGTCATGCAGGAGCGCAGGAGGCAGCAGGCCATGGGTACCAGGCTGATCGTCCTCCTTGCGATCTCGTCGCTGCTGATCGTCCTCCTTGCGATCTCGTCGCTGCTGGTCTTGATGAACGACTTGACGCGCGTCAGGCTGTGGATGGCTCGGGTGATCATCGGGCATCCCTCCATGATCCTCAGCCGGCTGTTCCACCCGTTTTGCTCCAGCGCTGCAGCGACTAGAAACCCTTCCGGCTGCTGGCAGATACCTTGCAGCGCGACCATGATCTCTCTCTCCGACAGCTGCTCGTTCCTCAGGATGTCGTTGAGCGCTGAGGCGACCAGCGTCTCCACCCTCTTCCGATCCCTCCGCAAGCTCCTCTCCTTACACCGCGACAGCTCTGCCAGCAAGTCAGACCAGGCGACACAACTTGGACTCGTACCGAAGTCAGCTGGACCCTGACCGTCTCGCTCGCCTCCGAGGTCAGACTCATGTCGGGGGGGAAGGGCAGGGAGGCAAGTTTGTATGACTGGCCAGACTGTTCAGAATCTCTTGACAACCTCCCTCCGGCTACCTGTCTCCTCCTCATCCCAGTAGGACAGGTCGCGAGTTGCCTCCTTGTCGTCAAGGATCAGCTCCCCGACCACATCCATGAGCCTCCTCAGCCTCGGCCTGCTGTCTGCCATCAACATCCGTCACCCTGCTGTAGGCGATACAAGACGGCAAGAAGCAACACTCCGGCCTTGAAGCAGCAGCAGCAATGAGGGCAGGCGACGTGAGAGACACAGGAAGGAAAGGAAGGGAAGGATCAAAATGGGTTGTCAAGGGATGAGGTCGGAGGTGGCAGCAGTGAGGGGATATCTTGATAGCTGTAAAGGTGATGATAACACCTTTACAGCAATGTTGATACGTGTAACATGCCAGCAACGAGATCATGCGAGTGAAGGAGAAGAGGTGAAGACAGGGACGAGAGCGATAGGGGTGCATTGAGCACATGCTGTGCTGTGCCGCTGGTGATGATGATGCTCTGCCAACGAAGACAGGGTGATGAGGATGTGCAGACATGACGGGAAGTAGCCGAACATGAGGGAGTGAGTGAGTGAGTGAGGGAGGGAGGGAGAAAGGGAGGAGGGAGAGAGGGAGGAGGGTCATGAGGGAGGAAGGGAGGGAGGGAGGAGGGACATGAGGGAGGAGGGAGAGATACGAGGATCATCTCTGTGTTAGGGGAGAGGAGCCATTGCGAGCAGGGACTGGTGAGATATCCCAAAGCTGAACTAGTGTTGTTGAGAGGGGTGGGGGTATATTGTTTCCCACGGAAGTAGGGGTATCGTGATATGAATATGTAGGGTGGGGTCATCACAATTTCCCAGGGTATAATGTGGGTGGGTGGGTCAGTGGGGCGCTACTGGAGTTTAAAATGAGTTTTAAATATCGAGATTAAGATAGGGGTGGGTAGTACGAAACGTGAGAAGTCCCTCCATCATCTTTGTATGAATATCATGAAATTTCTATAAGTAAGATACTAAGTGATTTGATAGAAGGTTCAACCCTTACCCTCCTGCCTCCTCCCAGTGCCCCATAACTTCTGTCTCCTGTCTCTCCCTCTCCTCGCTCAACCTTCTGTGTCAACTTTAAAAATAACCACAAATCTTTCACCACCCCACCCCATACAGGGCAACTCAATCATTACCCCTACCCCTTCTCCCCACATTTGTACCTCCACCTACCCTACCTATTGTCAGTTCACCACCCCAACTTTCCTAATTCCTCTATCCCACGCGAACCTACCCCACCCACCCCAGTCTTGTCACCGACCCCCACACTCGTCATTCCTCCCGCGAATGTACCCCACCCTCCTCATTCACTCATCAACAATGGTCAGAGCAGGGGGTACTGGTACCCCGGAAAACTGATGACGGACCGAGCCCAACCGATCAGGTAAGTAAACCAGTAAAAACTACTTCCTCGTACTGATTTTTAACTCAACTTTGAGTAAAAAAAGTAAAACCCGTAAAAATCGGACTCAGAACAGCCAGCTGTAGCCTAGTCACTGAGGCTCAGACTCGGAACTTCGGAACTTGAAGAGTGACGGGCCGGGCCCGGGCCGTACTACGTCAACTGGACAGACGGAGCACACTGAAGTTTGTTACTGAGACTTGTACTGCACTGTGCCACTGAAGTAATGCAGACATCACATAGACCCAAGTTAAGGGGCCCGCCAACAAGTTGCAACTTACCCGGCGGACCGTGGCAGTTTTTGCTCACTGAGGGCCGGGCCGAGTTTAAGTAGTGCACACGAACTTGAACGGTCCGACAGAACTTGAAGGCTTCGGTGACTTCGGAATCAGTAGGCTCGGAGTGATACATCGGAGAGAGGCTTCTGAGACCGTTGTATGCTAGGATGTGAAACCCGCGCGGCGCACTGCCAGGAGGCTGGCACTGACTCGGAGTGAGTGACGGTGGTTGAAGCCGCCGGGGCACCGTGACCGTCGACCCCTCAGGGCGGCAGACTCCGTACATCCGATCATGCCGCCGAGTCGGATTGAAGACGCGGCTAGGAACTTGAAGGCCTCATCCGAAGTTCGTCGCACCGTCGTACTACGGTACTCAGTGACTTGTCAGTGACCGTTGGTGCCGCATCCGGCGAGGCCGCAGTGGCACGGCCCGCGCCGGCCGGGCGGGCCGCCGGGGCGGCGGCCCGGTCCGGCCGCCGCCGCCGGTCACCGCGGCCCACTGCCAGGCTGGCACAGTGATCGCCCGGTCTCCGACT